GGATCAATAGTTTGAATATTTGGCATTCAAACTAGTTCCACTCCTGTTTCAGGGGATCAATAGTTTGAATGTTTGGCATTCAAACTAGTTCCACTCCTGTTTCAGGGGATCAATAGTCTGTTTGTTGTAGACAAACTAGGTCCTCTCCTGTTGAAAGGGGATCAATAGTATGTGCATTACACAAACTCATTTCTGTTATTCATTCACTGATTACATGGACAAGTTCTTCTATTATGACCAAATTGACCACAATTACCACATTTTCTTTGTGTTGCAGGTGGTTCTAGAGATTGCCTTGGAGAATGTGGTACTTCAATCTCCATTGCAAGGTCTGGTGGATTATCTACACCTGGTGTTGATTGTCGAGATGATCCTGTTGGTCGAGGTGCATCAGGAAGTGGGCAGGTTACATCTTTACATTCGTATCTGCAAAACGATCTTATCTTTTTGTAAAGGTACCATTTCCTTTCAGTTGACATACCCTTTGGTGGTAATATATTAGGTAGTTCATCTTCCATTATTTGAGCGTCCTCCTTCAGCAAATTGAATTGTGTGACTGGGCCATCTACAGTTTGTCTGGCTGCAACTACACCAGGTGAGGTCGCATTTACAACGAAGTGTTGAAAGCCTTTGATGCCTTTTATTTTCTTGAATAATGTAGCAAAGTAACTACACCAGTCAAGTGTTTCTACAATGAGTTCACCATTGCTACTTCCTACTGGTTGGGCTTTGTTCACAGCAGATGATTGTTCTACAACTTGAATGAAGTCATCCAATGAGTCCACCTCTGCTTTACGGAATTTTTGCTTTAATAGTCCGAAGCACCAGTCTGGAGAAAATTTTGTGTGTCCAACTGGCAGAAAGGATATTGAAATGGACGCATTGAGTCCTGTCATGACTCTCCATAAGAGGTACTAAAATAAATAATTACATTTAAAATGTTCATTATTGTGCATGTAATATACTTACTTGAATAACTGTATTATTTTTATTTTGCCCTGTGCAGTTGTCAGCATTGAAATGGATACTGACTGAGTTGAGGCCATGATTCTTCAAATAAAAATGTACCATGCTTATGACAGGATTTGCTCCTTTACCAGTGTCGAATGATTCATCGATC